GCTGGGGGAGGCGCAGGGACCGATAGAGGAGGACGTGCCCTGTGGTCTCTGGGCCAGTGGGGATGGCACTCCGTCCACGGAGGGCAGCCCGGCCAGGCCATCCCTGGCCACAGCAGGTTGGATGGGCGGACAGTAGAGAGGGAGCCCTGGCTGGTGGCCTAGGCAGTTCGCGAAGGCCTAAAGGTGCCACCTGGCCTTGCACAGCCCTGGGGGGCTTCAAGACCCCACCCCACGTGTMCGTACCGCCTGGACGGCTCTGCGTAGCTCGCGGCTCTGGGCCCCCTGCGCCAGGCCCCCCAGTGAGCGCAGCTCCTGGGCTAGTGGAGTCCACCTTGAAGACTGACGCAGTGTGTCTGGTCACCTCCACGCTGGGCCACTCTCTTCCCCTCGGGGCCAATCACGTTTTATCTCTTGAATTCGCTTAAACGAAGGAAGCACTTGGGCCTGGGCCCGAGCGTCTCCTGGGGCTCCTGAGCCGCGGCAGCCGTTTCGCGGTGCGGGCTTCCCAGCCTGTCCGTGCCTGCGACCCCCCTGCCTCCGCCTCAGCGTCCTACACAGGTGACTGGGGAGTCTAATTGACTCAGCTGTAAAAGGATAATTAATTGACGTTTCCCTCCCGGAGAGGTCAGGCTGCCCGCTCCCATCCCTGCGCGCCTCTGCCCAGGACGCCCTCCCTCGGGTGCCTGCCGACCTTTATCTTGCTGATAAAGCCATAATTGTTGTAATTAGTATCCACATAAAGGCTTTGGAAGTCACTCCCAGAGCTGGCCCCCGGCCTCAGGGTCAGCCTGGCTGGAGGGGTGCGAGTTTGGAGGACACCGTCGGCCTCCCAGCCCCTCCCCCAGAGCACTGGCCAGGTGGGCCTCTTGGTCTCTTGGGGCTCCTGGGGCCCCAGGGAGCACACAGTTGGGATCAGTCTCCCAGCCTGGCAGCAGCCACCCTGACGGCGCCCCGTGACCACAGCTGGCCTGCACACGGCAGCGTCTACCGTTCTCTCTGCAGTCAGAATTTCGTGTCCCTGAGGGCGCCGGCCTTCAGACAATAGCCCTTTCCTTTCCACGGTGTGGCCTGATAGAAGGAGTTTGCACACAGGGTGGACAAGCTCAGGGCAGTGCCCCCAGGCCGGGGCCAGCAGGGGAGGCAGAAACCCCATGATCAACACGCAGGAGGCATCGGGCATCTGACCGTGACGGCGGAAGAGAACCCCGGAGCCGGGGCAGCTGAGCCCAGGGCTTCCTCATGACCTGAACCCATCCAGTGCTGGGTGAGAAATGGGTCACAGGGCCAGGGGGCTGCGATGGGACCCACCACGGTCATCCCAGCCGCAGGCACTGGTGGCCTGGGCCCCGGGACGTGGCCTGGATGCTGCCCACGAGGGGAGGAGTGGAGAGAGATCTGGGGAGACCTGGCTGACGGGCAGACGTGGGGGAAGGAAGGATCGAGGAGCAGGTGGAGCAGGGAGGGGGGCCGGCCCCCGAGGCTGTGCTGTGTGACCTTCTGGGGATGGCAGCCCATGTCTGCTGCAGGCTGGGCTGGCGTCCAGCTCAGGGGCTCACATGAGTCAGTGTGGTTGGTTCTCGCTTCCACAGGAAGTGAGGAGCCTGCCCAAAGAGGGCCCAGGGGCAGAGAGAAACTGACCTGCACCAGGGCCAGCCTGAGCCAGGGGCAGTGAGGGGGCGGGCCAGCAGCAGCCAGGAGTGTCCAAGGGAAGAAGGAGGCCCAGCGAGGTTCAGCTGATTCCAGGAGTGCCTGGACGATGGCCTCCTAAAACCCACCTCCAGCTGAAGGAGAGAAGCCCGTGGAAGCAAGCTCCTGCTCGGGGCAGTTGCCTCGGAAGGGACGCCACCTGCCCCCCGGAGGGAAAGCCACTTCTGCAAGACCTCTGCAGCCCGCCAAGCCTTCGCCAGACCCTGCCCCGGAGGACGGCACTGTGTGGGGCTCCTGGACAGGCCCAGCTGCCCCCACAGCTGCCCCACGCCCGGCCCTGTGTCGCCAGCCACCCCTCACAGGTGCTCTGGGCGTGGCCTGTCAGAGACCACCCTGCTGCGTGACCAGCTGTCCACTAGACCGAGGAGTGGAGGAGGCAGCGACCCAGCTGCACTGCTCTTCAGGGGCAAGGGGCAGGGCTCTCGGCAGGGGAAGGGCTGCCCTGGGGACAAACGGACAGAGGGGTGAGGGCCCCAGGAGTCTGGCCCAGACGAAGGCAGTGCCAGGGAGGGCGGCAGGGCAAGGGGCAGCTGGAGGGGTCCCAGAGCCACCGTGTTTTGGAGGCAAAGTCAGTGACCTCGTGCCACTGCTGTGGCACAAACTGCGGGGTGGAGGGAACAGGCTGGGGGTGACTGGGGGCTGACCCCCGCTTCTGACTGCAGCACTGGGGTAGGAGCCGACGTCGGGGGAGCGGTGGGCAGATTTGGGGGTGGCGTCTGACGTGTGTGAGATGGACACGTGGAGGCAGCGGGTGGTTAGCAGCAGGGAGAGTCCGCGTGGTCAGCGTGGCTGGTGCAGTCGCTGCGGGGAGCAGGCATCTGGGTGCGTGAATGGAAGAGCAAAGCCCAGCCGCCCCAGGGCCCTCGGTGTGGTCAGGTGGCCTTGCTGGGGAGGGATTCCTGGGTCCACAGGAGCCGGACCTGGAAGGTTTCCCTGCCAGGACGGTCCCCGCTCCCCCTCAGGTTCCTCTCCCTGCCAATTCAGAGCACCCTGCTCTCGTTCCCCTCAGCCAGGGATGGCGGAGGGGGAGTGGCTCTGCCGTCCCCAGAACAGGCTCTCCTGGGCCCCTGGTGCTCCAGGTTCTCTTCCTGCCGTGCCACCAGGTCAGGGCTCCCGGAGGGCCCTGGGGTTGGGCCACGGCTCCGCGGCCGGCCCATCTGGGCAGGGTGACAGGGCTTCAGTCTCTGGTTTCATGAGATCTGCCTGCAAATGCCTGGCCCAACTTGGTGGCCCACAGGCAGCAGTCACCGTGACATTCAGGGAAGGCACGGCTTCAGACAGCGCAGGTGAGCCTGCGGCCGAGAGGTGGACCCTTGGGGCTGGGTTTGGACACACATTTATTTGCTCAGCAGAAACTGTGTCCCTTCTAACCCCGCACCTGAGAATGGCAGGTGGCAGGTAAGGCCTGAGGTGCTGCCAGATGTGAGCCCAGCATCATCGGTGCTCCCCAGCTGGGGCCCGCCGGGCGGTCACCACCCAGGGAGGACGCGAATGGCTGGGATGTGGGTGAAAGCCGGCCTTGGCACTGCCAGAGTCATCCACAGATACCTGGTCCCGTTGGCACCCTCGGCCCGCAAGGAGCCTGCAGTGGGTGAGGAAGTGGAACCAGGCCCTGGCAGCTCGGTGYCCACTGCTGCCCAGGCCACGAGCAGCACAGGGACAGCTGGGGAGGGGGGAGGAAGATGCAGATAAGAACTGTCCTTGCCAAAGGCGGGRCGGCTTTGGATCATGCACCAGGAGATGAGATTAAGACACCTCTGAGAGAGATCATCCCCCCACCTGCAGCTCAGACGTACTGTAGAGGCCTGGCTCCCCACAGCAGCTCTGTCCCTCTCCACAGAAGTGGGACCCAGGGAGGGGACATTAATGCCTCCAGCCCTGGGAACCCATCCAGAGCACACACGAAAGACACCCCTCTGCTCACCCACGACTCACCACTCACCAAGGGAACCAGCCCCAAGAGCCTCAGTGGGGTCCTGCCTGCARACCCCGCCCCGTCTGTAATGTCCCCTGCCTCTAGTGAAGCTGGGTCAGACAGACTGGGCCCCGGCCAACCCCTCTCCAGGCCCTGCTCCATCCCTGCCTGGGTGCACCCCCTGCTCCACCTTCCATCTGCTACCAAGCACCATCCCTTGTGTCCCACTGTGTCACTGCCTTGGGGACCCTCCATTATGGCTGAGGCCACTGTCCTCGCCCAGGCTCCCCCTTCAGAACCTCCCTGCCTCCAGCCTTCTCAGGAATATCAGGGTGGAGGCTGTCAGGAGGGTCCTCAAGCCCAGCCCCCATAGGAAAGTGGTTTCTGATGCATGTGCATGTGTGTCTGTGTGTGTGTGTGTGTGTGTGTGTGCGCGCGTGTGTGCGTGCCTGCGTATGTGTGCGTGCCTGCGCGCGCCCATGCACACACCCCGGGGGCTCCCAGGACCTCTGCACCAGCCTAGCATGCAAATGCTCACCCTCTGCCGAGCTGCTTTCTGTATCAGAGGAGGAAGGGGGTGCTAGGGCTGCAGCCCCAGTGGTGGGCAGGCAGCACCCCTGATCCGCCACACCTTGGGACCCTGGAGAGGAGGGAGCCAAGATGGGCAGTGTCTGCAAAGGGCACCAGCCCTCTGCCCGCTCCAGGTCTTCTGGGGCTGCCCCTGCCCGAGCTCCTGCCTCTATCTGCGGTGGTTGGGGCCTACAGGAGGCCCAGCTGGAAGCCACATTGGAGCAGAAGCTTCCCATCTCGCCCTGTGGAGAGCAGAGGGCTCGGCTCGGCTTTCAGGGCTGAGCACCAGCCTCTCTGTCCTATGTCCCTGCCAGGCCTTAAATAAAAGCTGGACACCTCGGCTGAGAGAAGTGGAGGTGCGGCCCACCCCAGCCCAAAGCTGACCTACGGGGAGCTATGCTGGACCCCAGACAGGGGCGGAGGTGTGGGACCCCAAATTCACCCACCACAGAGCCTGCCTGCCCTGTCCACACTGCCCTGTCTACAGTTCCCTGTCTACAGTTCCCTGTCCACCCTCCCCGTCCACACTCCTGTCCACACTCCTGTCCACACTGCCTGTCCACCCTCCTGTACCCTTGGCTGGTACAAAGTGAGACACAGGACAAAGGTCCATCCTTTGCCGGGTTCCACCTTCTGCCCACATGGTCATGGGAGCTGGCGGATGGCCAGCGCCCTGGGCTGTCTCCCAGCCCATGTGGCCATCTGCACCCAGCCCGCCCCACGCTGGAGACACACTTCAGAAGAGCTTTGTGGAAGGTTCTGGCTGTCTGTTTCATGACTCAAGCGTCCTTCCTTTCTTTCCTCTCAGCCAGGGGAGGCCAGTGCCACTGTCCTGAGGACCTTCGGCAGCGGGTGGAGCAAGGCTGTGCTGAGTTTCGGGACCTGCTCCTGGGGCCCCCTCCCGCTGGACGCCAGCCCTTCCTGTTCCTGCACAGCCCTCATGAGGTAGCACAGGCTCACTGCCCACACAGTGGGCATGTGTGTCCATGGAGCCCCTGGCCAGGCCTCTCTGAGCCTGCTTCTGTCTCCTCCTGTCAACCCTCTAGAAGGCTGGCAGTAAGCCCAGAGAGATGCCCACCGCCCAGGAGGCTGCAGGAGGCAGCAGGTAGGAGGTGGACCCCACTCCAGGGGTTCCAGAGGGCCAGCTCTGGTCTTCCCACTCCAGGTCCTGGGGGAGCCTTTGGCTCTGACCATCCCCTGGGCCTGGCCCTTTGCACCCCACATGCCTCAGTCTCCCCTGACACAGAGGACTGCACAAGCAAGGGGTCTTCCTGGGTGTGACCAGGAGAGGCCCACGATGCAGCTGCCCAGAAGGGGTCTCTTCCAGGGACTGGTGGTGGAAGTGCAGCCCCACTTGTGTCTGGCTGCCAGGGGAGAGCGTTCGGCCTCCTGCAGCCTGTCTCAGGAGGCTGGAGAGCCCTGGGTGGAGCAGAGCCAGGGGGCTCCCCAGGCTTCACCCAGCTGGGGAAAGGTCCACGCGAGGCAGGGGCACCTGGGGAGGGGCTTGCGAGCTGGTCAAGTTTCCTCAGCATCTATGCCAGGCCAGGTGCAGTCAGGCCCAAGTGGGATGCCATAACCAGCCCATTTTACAGAGGAGGAAACCGAGGGTCAGGGTCTCAGAGTTCACCAACAGCTTGCCCAAATCACGTCTGGATTTTTGTCTGACAACTGGAGGGCTGCCTGTCAAACTGGGGGGGAAGCGAGGAGCCTGGCGCTCCTATTGCCGGACTAAGACCCCCGGGCAAGGTGGACCCCCGCAGCCCTCAGCACCTGCAGGCCGGCCCAGGAGCTAGGGAGGACGGGGCGGGTCTCTGGAAGAGCAGCGGGTACCACCGCCACCCGCCAGGGGTCCCCTCTGACCTCCGCCTGATGGAACCCGTAGGATTCTGTGAGATTCGGGATCTAATGAGAGGCGCACTCTGGCGASCCGGCTGCGCAGCGTCCTCCCAGCCTGGCGGGGCGGTCCGAGGTGGGCGGGCCTGGCGGAGGTGGGGGCGGGGCCGGCGGAGGTGGGCGGGGCCGGCCGAGGTRGGCGGGGCGGTCCGAGGTGGGCGGAGCCATGCGGGGCGGGCGGGGCCGGCCGAGGTGGGCGGGGCGGTCCGAGGTGGGCGGAGCCATGCGGGGCGGGCGGGGCCGGCCGAGGTGGGCGGGGCGGTCCGAGGTGGGCGGAGCCATGCGGGGCGGGCGGGGCCGGCGGAGGTGGGCGGGAGCGCGCCGCGAGCGCCTGCCTGGGGGCTGGGGACTGCGTGGAGAAGCCCAGGGGAGTCTTCCAGGGGAGGTTGGGACGGAGGCKGCAGTCCACGCCCGGCTGCTGCTCCGGCGATCAGACTGCTCGTCGCTGACGCCGGGGGTGGGCCAGCCGGGACCCTGGAGGCTGGCACGGTGTTGGCGCGCTGACAAGCCTTTGATGCCCTGCGAGGCGGGCGGCGCTGGGACGGGAGCCGCTGCCAGCGGGGTGCATCCCCAGGCGGCTCTGAGTCACGTTCGCGAAGCTCGTTTCTCGCAGCTGAAGCTCTGACAGAAACAGCCGAGATCCGGCCACTGAGGGGCTCCTGTCCGCCCAGTGGGCCTGAGGGGCCTGGAGACGCTGGTCCCAGCAGGAGGCTGCTGCTGCCTGCTTCCTCCCCAGGAAACGGAGGGGCCCCAGCTTGTCCTGCCGCCTGCCCACCCAGGGCTTCCAGGAGCCCCAAGTTAAACATCCACACACTGGGGTTATTGTGACCAGGGAGGACGGGCCGCACATCCGACTTTCCAGCTCTTGAGTGGGCTTGTGCCTGGCAGCCAGTCCCCACGTCTCTCCCAGCCTCAGGGGTTCCTGGGGCTGTGGTGCTGCGCTGGCACCGGGCTGGGCACAGGGCCTCCTCCAGGCCAAGGTGAGGCCGGTTTTCCCTGGGAGCCTCTTCGCTCTCTGTAGCCAGAGTTTTCTGGATTTAGATACCCCAGAGCGATTTTTAATCCTGAGTTCTCCCAGAGTTGTTCTCCCTCTAGGGAGGGGGCCAGCTGTGAGGTGCACCCCTGGGGCCCTGGCATGGCTTCAGGTTAAAGACGCCTCTGAACATTCCCGTACCAGCTCCCCAGGCCTCCCTCCAGCCCCGTGGCCTCCACTGCCCACACACTGCACACTGACCTCAAGTCACCTTCCAGGGACTCCCCAGTTCTGTCCCCTGGGGGCCACTCAGTCTCTGTGGGTGTTTGTGTGACACCCTTGCCTAAGAAGAAGGGGGAGCCTCAGGCAGGGCCCACCCCAGCCCCATCCCCAGAGCCTCCTGCACTCCCACCAGCCCCTTGTGGCAGTCGCCAACCCAAGGACCCCACCTTGCAGAACGCAGGAAGCCGTCAGAAGCAGGAGCACCTTCCAAGCCCACCTCTGGTCTGCACATGAGAAACCCAGGAAGTTCTGAAGGTGTCATTCCTATGAGCCCCTCTCCCAGGCAGGGTGTGCCAAGGGCTTGCTGCCCACCAGTGGCCAGGCAGGGGCTGAGGGATGAATGTTCCTGACACTTTGTCCAGGGCAAGACCCCTGTGGTGTGGGAGGGAGGCAGGCCAGGGTCTCCACTGTCCTCAGGACTCAACCCTCACCAGCAGGAGTTTGAGCTGGGATTCTGCCACCAGTGCCCAGAGACCCTCACTCTCACTGTCCACACCAGGAGCAGCTGCCAGCTGACCTCTCCACCCTGCTCACCTCTGCACCTTGTGTCTAGAATGTTCTTGCCACCCCACCCAACACAAGACCTCCCCTTTCCAGCTTAGTGCCCAGTTCCCGGAGGAAGCCCCTTTCTAGCTCTTCCAGGGGCCCTCAGAGATCGCCATCACTGGTGACCCCCCATTTCCCTTACGTCCAGCCCAGCCAGGTCAGTCACCGCCCCTGGGATCACAGTTCCTGACTGTGCCTCCTCGCTCTTCCTTCCCACCCTCCTACCCCCTTCCTCTCTCCCTCTGTCCTTCGTCCCCCCTTCCTCTTTCCCTCTCTTCTTCCCTCCCTCTGTCCCTCCTTCCTCCGCCCTCCTTCCTTCTCTGGTCTGACTCCATCCCAGAGTGAGCTCCTTGGAGGGAGCAACTGTGGGTGTGGAGAGGAACAGGGGACAGGGGAGCCTGGTGGCCTCACCCTGTGGCAATAAACAGAGTTCAGCCCCCAAACCTCCCCCCAAGGGATTCAGCCCACAGCCACAGGACCCCAAGGGCCATGGCTCTGTCCCTCTGGTGTCCCCAGAGCCACTGCTGGGATGTTTTCCCTCCTTTTTCTTAATATTTATTTTTTAGTTTTCAGTGGACACAAATCTTTATTTTATTTTTATGTGGTGCCGAGGATCAAACCCAGCACCCCGCGCATGCCAGGAGAGCACGCCGCCGCTTGAGTCACCTCCCCAGCCCCAAACCTCTCGCCAGTGCCTTCACTGGCCCGCAGACCTAAGATGTGGGTATTGAGAGGCTGCAACAAACTGTTACAATGTGTCTCCTGCTTGGTAATCTCAGCCAGTTGGCCAGCCTTGGCTCCATCAGGGTTCCAAAGTTAGGGACAACTTCACCAGGCGATGCAAGGCAGGCGTACATGTGAGGCTTCCAAGTGGGGACACCAGCTCTGTTCCCTGTGTGCCACCCAACTGGCCCAGCAGAGCTACTCCTCATACCTTGCCGGCAAAGGTCAGGCAGGCCGTGGGCCGCCTGGGAACCTTTCCATCCCTAGGGCAGAAGCTCAGTTTCCAGTGGCCTAAGTTGGCCTGTCAGACCCGATGGGCTCCTGCGTCATCCCCTAAGTGGCCAGTGAGGAGTGGTCAGGTCAGTGGCAGCCTGCCTGGCATTTAGCATCAATGGGAAGAGGCCAGCAGGACATGGGAGTCGGCTTCTGTGTCCCTCCCAGGAGGTTCGAGGTAGGGACAGAGCAGAGTCCAGGTGCTGCCATCCTGCAGAGGGGCCAGGTGTGGGCCAGAACAGGTGGACTCACTCTGCCGCTGGCATCCAGGAACAGTGGCCACAGGTAGCCAGGCTGAGCTACAGTCCCGGGGACCCTGTGGCCCTCATAACTACAGTGTCCCCTCTCTTGCCACTCTGTAGACGGATGCCACCCTCAGCACCCAACGGCCTACTGGGCAGAGCAGGCAGCTCACAGCTTCCCTGTCTGTGCTCACCTGCTGGACACCCTGGACACCCCAGCAGACCTCACTTATCCTCCCCCAAAGCAACCTTTGCCCACATCAGCAGCCACCGCTGTATCCGAAGATTTCCAACTATAGGAGGGAGTGAGAGGGCGCCCCTGCACCTCCCAAGAGTGACAGGGACACACCAGCCTGAAATTCCAGAGGAGCAGCTGGCTCTGAGTCACAGGAGGGAGGAGGGCCGAGTGSTGGAGAAGCCCTGGCCCCTGCCTCACCTCCACCATGCTTCTGTAATCTCTCCTGGGCTAAGAAAAGTTACCTTTGTGTTTCCTGAATCCGGGTCTCGATGGAGGAAAGAGAGGCAGAGGGTCCCACAAACACCGTGCCCCAATGTGGGCACAGTATCTGGGCATAGAGGTCCGTGCCTGGCTTGCCAACCCAGCCTCACGTGTGAGGCCTGCAGACCAGGTCACGGTGTGCAAGATGGCCTGACGAGGAGAGCCTGCAGCAAGGGCCCCACATGGACAGGCCAGTGCAGAGGTACTGGACCCATCTGCTAGGAGACCATAAGCACCCTTACTCCTGCTATTACTCCTGCCTCTGATAAGATCAGGGCCACCCCAGGCCTTGCCACGCAGAGTCCAGGCTGCCCGTCTGGAGCTGCAGACCTGAGGGGACCCTGGGCTCCAGGAGGGCTCCTGTTGCCTCAGGAGGGGCTGCTTTGCATCCTCAGAGTCCAGGCCCTGAACTGCTGCCTCACCATGCTCCCTGTGCCCAGGACTGGCTCAGGAGAGGGGAGCCGGGCGGGCGGCCTTTTTGAACTGGTGGGTGGAGGCTCCCCCAGACCCGGCTGCCTGCTTCCCCGGGAGGGAGCACGTTTCTGTGGAGGGCCCCCGGCTGCATTCCTGCGGACACATTCCAGGCCCGTTACGGAATTCCACAGCGCGACCAAGAGCTCTTGTCAGTCCCTGAGTGACGTGAAATCGTGTCAGCTGCAGAAAACGGACTTGAT